GATTAAAAGCATTATAATTAAAAACTATGCAAATCTCTAGATAGTGTTATTTTTAAAAAAATGGTGGATTATTCCAAAAGCAAAATGAACTCCTATTTTCTTAATTGTAATCTAATTACAAATTTTATGATTTATACATATAATAAATGAATAAATACTTTTTATAGACATTAAAATTACTATAAAAATGATATTCAATAATTTAATATTATTATTTTTACGGAGAAATTATAAAAAATCATATAGTAATTTTATATTGTAATACCTCTATGATAAATGTTGATCAAAATACAAGTATAAATTTATCAAAAAGAATAAAAGAATGTCGAGTTTTCTTCGAACCGTCGTTAGTTGATTATAATTTCAGTTTTGAAATTGAATTTGTAATTTATCATAAATGATTGCAGTGATGTCAAAGTCAAAAATAGTTGGTGGGCAAAACATTTTTTAATTGATTATAGATACTTTCTACTCAATTATTGTATTGATCTTTTTTTAGCTTCGACGCGAAGCTGAGAAAGTATTGGTTTTAATAAGATGTGTTTATTTATTTTTTTTTTTATTTATTTATTTTTTTTTTGTGTCTGTTACCACCTTTTCTCAGCTCTCACCGAACCGATTTCTTTCAATGATACGTCAAAAGATCACAAATCGTATCTAGTCGAAGACATTACCCTCAAAAATTGAAAAAAATTCCCTCGTTCCCCGTAAATGGGGGAAACATCCGAAAAAATTACAAATTTAAAAATGGCTAATTTTCGAAATTTTTTCAATTTTAGCTTCGATGCGAAGCTGAGAAGGTATTATTTTACTAAGATGTGTTTTTTTTTTTTTTTGTGTCTGTTACCACTTTTTCTCAGCTCTCACCGAACCGATTTCTTTCAATGATACGTCAAAAGATCACAAATCGTATCTAGTCGAAGACATTACCCTTAAAAATTGAAAAAAATTCCCTCGTTCCCCGTAAAAGGGGGAAACCTCCAAAAAAAATTACAAATTTAAAAATCGCTAATTTTCGATTTTTTTCAATTTTTTTTACTTAAAAGTGCCGTAACTTTTTCAAAAATGAACATATCAATATAATTCTTTTTTATATAGATGCATAATATCATTACCTTTCATTTGGTATATTTTTTTCATAAATTTAACCCTTAACCTGCCCACAAGGGGGGATTTAAAATGACAACTTTTTCACAAAAAATTAATTTTTTTAACTTTTAAATTTTGAAAATGTTCAGGAAGGTCTGACACTTTAATATATATCTTAAATTAAAGCTAATGTAATATGCTTTATCATGAAAAAAAAAATTTCGGACTTTATTTTGTCTTCACGGTGAAAATGGCTACCGAATGCTATTTTTGTGTGAAAATTTTCGATTTTGTATTTTACATTTTTAACTTTATTATGCTATAACTTTTTGAAAAATGTATGGATCANTCATTCATTCGACATACTTTTTTTTTAAATCGGACCATTTCCCTTAATACAGGGAGGATTCAAAACATAAAAATGCATATAGAAAGTAGAACTTTTTCAACTTTTTTATATAATGAATCTGTTTATTATTATTTCTGTACATTTATATACCGCACTATTTTTCCCGCCATATTAATAATTGCTAATATCTTTTAAAACGCTAGTTTAAAAATTGTTATAAGCTTATCGTTTACTTAATTAGATCATTTTCTTAATTTTAAGATAATCATAAATGTTTTCATTTAAAAAAGTTAAGTTCATACTACTTTTAAGTGGAAAGAAAAGGGATAGGACCAATTTGTTTTTTTTTTTTTTTTGAAATACTAGAACACAGGATACTATAAATTTTTGAAAAGGAAATATTATAATATTTTTATACTTTCTAATGAATAATAATATAATTAAAATATTATAACAACCTATGTGGACTGTATATAAAAGAATTTATAAAATCTACAATGTGATAATTAAAGTTTTTATAAAACAGTAAGTAATATTTAATAAAACAAAATAATTTTTATTTAAAATAACATTATTACAATAGCAATAAACTATTGATATTTCAACAAGGAAATATACATATTAGTAGTAAAATAGTATTATACACTTTTATATTGTTATTTAACTAAAATACTACTTAATTTAATAGACCCTAATTCCCCAAAATGTAATTAATATTTCTCTGACGCTAATTCACGTGTGCCATTCTAAGTTTTACTGATATGAAGCAAATATGCTTAGAAAAAAAAAACTATAGAGTATCACACCGAAAAATGACTNATAGAGTATCACACCGAAAAGTGACTAGAAAAGAAATTCATGTCACAGGGTTCTATGGCATTCACTGAATGGTATTGATAAATCCAATGAAAGAAACTTCCAAAAACTTGAAACTATAACAATACAACGAATAAAAAATCTACAAATTTTACTGCAAATAAAACCGACATAGTTTTCAAAAAATTATATACCATACAATTAACATGTCATTTTCTTGTATAGCATAAAACCTACAACTGTTTTACCTTAGGTTCTATCATATTAAAAAATATATAACTGCAAAAAATTACTACTTATCTCCCCTGCGGTAGAACAAATACATGACCGGGTCATCCATACGCGCTAACATACCGCCCCATTGAATGTTCAACTTTCAACTATCTTAAGTTTACATCTCATTTCAACATTTATTTATTTAATAAATCAAATTTTTCTAAAAAAACTAACAATAGAGATCTTTAATACTTTTCAATCTTTTTTTTTTTAATATTATGACAAAAATCAATTTGTTTTAAGTTGTCAGTTGTATACTAGATCGATAGATTAGTTTACAAATATTACTTAATAGTTAAAAGTAAAAAATTTATTATAATTATACATTATTTAAAATTGTAGTTTTATCGTTATATTCCCAATATACTTGGCTAGATATAATTTGTGATCTGAAAATGAATGGCCAGAGACACAAATAATTAAAAAAATTAAAACATCATAGTAAAACTAATAGTTTCGCAACTTATTCTACGCTGGTTGATATATGTTACTAACGAAAATAAACAATTTTTGTAGTTTAATGTGGAAAATATTAGTTAGCTTATAAGAAACTTGTTAATAGTTACTACGGATACACTTTTTTTTTTCTTATATAAGCAGACAAATTTTACGAATACAATTACTTCTTTAAAAATTTTTAATTTAAAGTGTCTATCTTCTTAATTGTTCTCAAAGTCAACATCTGCAAACCTTTAAGTTTTTAAATAATCCATAACGATGAAAACGAAGACTCAGAGATTATTTGCTCAACTCAAACGTTTACGTGAAAATCCTACTTATCCGTTTATAACGCCATCTTTCGTCCATATACAAAACTGTAATAATAACGAGTCTGCTATTGTGTCCACTAGTAAGAGTTTACCAAAGGCCAATTCAAAATGTTCGTCAGCAAAATCTGTATCAGAAAAACCGCAAATGAAGAATCCACAAGACGTTCCTGTTAAATCGACTTCGGCACATATTAAAAAATCATCTCCAAAGAAAAAAGTCGTCGTCGATGATAAGGAAAAGGACGCAGTCGGACCCCAGCCAAGATCAAGTACGAAAAAGCATAGATCTAAGTCGGGAATTCCGAAGGAACCTTCTAAAAATTCATGCTCGTCGAAAAGACCAAACGTTTTCGACGACAATGGGTCTTCTAAGAGACCTAAACACTCGAGCACTGTCGTGTTACGCCCCAGTGCGGATGGGTTTGAAAAAACAATAATCCCAAAGGCCATTTCTTCAGCGTCAGATTCGGTAAATGAATCGCAGACCTCGCAAGATTACAAAAACGATTATAATGGTATAATTTTGATTTATTCGCTACGAAACACATTTGCAATATTTGTATTTTTAATTTCTATATATTTTTTAATTCAACAGGGCTTTCCTCTAGCTCAGCTCGACCTACTGACCAGCGTAAAAATCAGCCCAAAAAGAAAAGCTCGAACACAATCTTTGAGGGAAAACCGTCTAAGAAAGTTGTTTACTCGAGCGCCGTCGAGTACCACTCGGCTTCTGATAATAAATCCGATGGCAAAATCATGTTGAAAATCACAAAAAAACCTTCTTCCGATAAATAATTTCTAATTTCTAAGGTCTGACTTCAATTTTAATATTCTCATTTATATTTATAAATTAATTATACATTAAATTAATATTATTCATTATTTTTTTTACTTATTTTTTGAAATTTATACTAATCATGTAATATTTATTGATTTTCTATACCTTAAATTTGTTTTTAACTTAATAATTCATTTGTTACTAAAACTATTTTTAATAAATGTATACAAATATCAGTGATTCTGTTGTATTTAATACTGGCATGTTCAGAAATTAGAAATAATAGTATTTAAATTAGTAAATAAATTAGTATTTCCACTTTTATTATTAACTAATGTATGTTAGTAATTTCGCTTATGCTGGTTCATATATGTTACTTATGAAATTAAAAAGCAATTATTGTCGTTTTTCAAACGAAAAATAACATTTTTTTCGTATAAAATTATGTGATATTATTAAAGTTAATTTGAACAATTACTGAAGTAAATTAGATTAGTTCTTTTAGCGATTGTGCTAGTCAGTTATAGTTAAGTAACACAATCTACGTGATCAATTTTTAATTATTACGATTTGCTTTATTTTGTTACAATCTGTTTTCTGTATAATTTAATATGTTTTATGTTTGGCTACAGTGACAAAGCCACTCTAAAGGGTCGTAATGAAAGGTTTGGTTAACAATGAGCGTTAAACTTTTGAGCTTATATAGATTATTAATTAATAGGATGTGTTGAAAATATATGTTATTTGTGTTATATTACTGATGCTTAATGAATCACGTTAAATGTATATCAAATAATTATAACAGGGTCATATTTTTATTAATCTACATAACATGTAGACTAATAATAATAATAATAATGATATTATTATATATTTAAGAAAATCGCGTTAAGTATGTTTGTCTAATAAGCATATTACTCGTATTGTTAGAACACAGTTTCATTACTATACATACAGAATGATTAATCAATCATTCTGTATAGTGGTTAACGATGAATCCATCGTTAACCACTATTTTTTGCTAATATAATAATAATATTGAGATTTGTCTTTATATTATTTCGTCGGTATAGAATCAGGGGAACGCACCAATAAAAAAAAAAAAAAATTCTAAATAATTTTAACCAATTATTCTTGTTGAATTTTGTTTTTAGACCACAAAGGTACTCTCACCTAAGTTATAACTTCTAAATCTAAGAGTACTAGCATTGTAACAATAATTTTTTATAAATTTTGTTAGACGTAAGACTGTTTATTTCCGGATACTCAGCAAAATCTTGTAATTCATATTTTTAATCTTTTTTTTTTTCGTANTCTTGTAATTCATATTTTTAATCTTTTTTTTTTTCGTAAAACTTTTGAAACGAGGTGTTTTATAGTAAATATGTATAAACTACTTTTTTACGAATATTAATATCACAAGAGAAATATTTCATGCCAAATTTAAAACGTTAATGTTCAAAAACTTAATCTCGTTTCTACAGTTACAAATAAAAATTTAAAAATCTTTTGCTATAAAATGATAAAATACGACTTGAGATTTTTTACACGTAGCCGACGATAACATAACGATTTATAACTTCCCTAAAGAATATATTTTGAGGCAGATAAAGTACCTAGTAATGCTTATATGAATAACTGAAATATCTCATTTATACACCACATACATACGATAAATATCTAATTGTTTACACGTATGATTGAATTTTTTGTTAACAATTTTAAGAAATTAAGAATTTCATATAGGCAACCTAATCGACGCGTACACACCAAATTGGTGTACGCGAAGTTTAAAAAATAAAACGGTGAAATGGTACCAGGAGTTTATGAATAATAGTCATATTTTTGATAGCCACCATTTTATAAAAGTATTGGTCGGTTAAATATATTGAAAAACAGTACCAGGGATTCAGAAGGTTAGTTTTCATTTACTCAAGGGTCGCGGTATGACGGTCGGCGTCTATTCTAGTAGCCGTTCTAGGCATACGACGCAACGTGTTGGTTGTGAGCGGCTAGTGGCACAGAGCTGCTATTCGCCAAACAGTTATGCATCAAGATTTACGCTTCAAAGATGATCACACACACCATTGCGCTACCACCACACTGCACTACACGCCTAAATGATTCGTGTAATTATTTTGAATACACATTCATTGCACTCGCAGACTACTTGTTAGTATACGGAAAGCTTTATATTCTGAACGATGTCCACTTATCTGTGTTTTTAATGTTCAGGACACAATACCATGTACATTGATGTGGACAATAGGTATTTATTTTTTATACTCTATACTTGCAATTATTTATAGAAGTTTTAAAGAAATTTAAATTACGTAAAGTGTAACATACATTATAATGAAACGATAAAAAAAATATGCACTTCCAAAAACTGAATATTATAAACATACCCAAAGTTATTTCGGTGACGTTTCCAAATTTACAACTCATTGATTTAATCAGATATGGCCGAGGACTTCTTTAGTCCTCAGACTTTTTCCAAACACCCATCAAAAAATAACTGGTAATTAGTAAAAATTAGAAAAAAATAACAAATCTTACCATTTATACGAATAAGAAAATGGGAATTTAAAAATGATTTAGCCCCAATCAAAACTTTGAGAAGTATTTTTGCAAAAACCGATAGTTTCTGGAGTTTTTCCTTATATAATTTTTTATGGTAATCAATATTTTGTATACAAAATACAGAGTGGATCCGCCCTTTCTAACAAATTTATAAATTTTAATTTAGTCACCATGCTGTAGTAATTTTTTTTCCATAATTTTTACACATTTGGACAACAATAACAACAATGGTTAACATAAAATTTTCATTAAAGACAAAAATATACTTTTTTAATCAAATTTTTGCGTAGATTTCTAATATGCAATAGAATTTTTTCCTATCACCTCTAATTTTTAATATTATTTTTTAATTAGTATAAAATAAGTAATTTAACATAAAATAAATTGTTTCCTTAAATTATTATCGTATTTGATATTTTAAAAGTTGACAATAATCTGTCATGTTTAACATATTTTTTAGTTTTTTATAGTTGATTTTTACAAAAATTTATAAAAAAAAAAATGATTTTCACCGTAAATTTTTTTGACTAAGCTTGCAAAATTAAAATAATCAATAAATTCACAATTATTAAAACAAAAAAACAAGAATAAGTTTAATAAGTTCAATGTAAGTTTTGTAACGTGATACTCTATATTTATGACAAACATTTATGACTTTCTAATATATAAGATGGACAAGACTCATTTTTTCAAAAATTAATAAGAATTCAATAATTTTCTTCACGTATTTTTCATTGAGAATATCAAAAACCTTACATATATTTTTTAAATAGATCATTTATAATTATTATTTATAAAGTATAAACAGTTTTTAATCGACATGAAAATTATAAATTTTGTTTTTATGAGTGGAGAAGAATAATGACAATAAAATCAAAAATTTAAATAAAATACAATATACATTTTATAAGTTAAATATAAAATCATCTATAATTAGTCTTTTAACATAAAATTGTATGGTCTTAATTTATGATTATAGATGAAATCATTTTATAATGCCACCGAATTAAGAAAATGTATCTATAGATATCCGATTTAAACCGTAAAAAGAGTCCACTATTGAGTTCAAAAGTTATAAAGCTTTATCTTATCTATGATAATAGTACAACGTTTAACAATACAACTCTTGAACTTAGAAACAAAATAATGAACGAATCATCATCAGGAATCACATCAAAAAACAACTCGTTCACTAATTCTTCAGACCTTTTATCCTTGATCAAATAAGAAATTTCTTGTATTAAAATTTATATGAAATTATGAACGAACGAATCATACTTTTATGTATTTGAATCAACTCGTTCAACAACAAATCATTCGCAAACGACCCATCACTTTATCTTACATTAAATTTTATTTTATTTATTAATGTTCTTTACTGGTCAATCACTCTGTATATCAACTTATCGTTCTTTAAATATTAAAATAATACTCTGTGTATTTCATGTTATTTGGAATCCAAGTACATGCAACTTAAAATGCATAATTATTTTAGATCTTTTCATTAAAAATAATTCCTTGGGTAAAATTATACAGGGTGTTCAGTAAGTCAGGAAAGAGGTTTCTATTGTTCTCATTGTTACAAACAATGAGAACAATAGAAACCCGTTTCCTGACTTACTGAACACTCTGTATAGAACTTAATCAAAAAAATAATTTATTTAGGAAGCTTATTAGGTTGTTATGCTTTATAACCTTATATGATCTTCAGCCGATTTCTAACTAGTTTTAAAGACAGCCTATTAAAATTACTCCAGCCCTAAACAGTTTAGATTACAATTTTACTACAGTTATCAAGTAATGAGAAATTTTTTTTGTTAAAACGTTTGATCAGTAATAAAAGTTGAAATTCAACCGTTTATTACTAGTTTATCAAAAGTATACTTAATCGTTTTAGACATAAATGATCATGTAATTTCTCGTTGAAAAAAAAACATATTATTTTAACCATTATGTCTAAGGAATTTGAAGTAGCTGTAAAATAAACTCTTGTTAATGCCAATTAGTTACTTAAAATAACTCATTAAGCAACAAATGTTAAAATAATATTATCTCAAAAAAACATTGATTAAACAACAATATTCTATTATTCGTTTACAGATGAGTGTAAAATTTGCAATAATGAGTTTAAAACAGTGATATTGAAACCTTGAAAACACAGGTTTGGTAATTTCTGCGCTAATCAATTAAAAATATTAGAAAGTAATTGCCCAATATGTAGACTGAGGGTGGCTCAAAAAAAATCGATCTTCGAAATGTTTATGAGATACCTCATAAATGTATTATATACATTAAAATAAACATTTTATGAAAATTTGAGATTAAAAAAAAAATGTTTACAGGTCGCTCAACGCGTTTTAAGAAAATTGACCAAAAATACTCAAAAAAAACATAAAATGTCATTATTTATTCAATTTTTGTTCAAATTTCTTACTTAGTACATCTA